GTCTCCCAATATGATGCTGTTTGTGTCTCCTCTTCCATCTTCCTGAAGAATTTCTTCAATTGTGTCATACACTTTTTCCACTTCATCATCTTCATACTCTGATGTTGGCATGTACACTTGTATAATCAGTATATCTACCGGTTCCGCCTTTAACTTCAGAGCAATAATTCTGTCATTACAAGCAATCTTCTTAACAACACTCCTCACTACACTTTTATGCACCACTATTGCCACACCTCTTTCAGCCCGTTCACCTCCGGAATAATACACTGTATAATCACCGCTTCTTATTTCACCTTGTCCTTTCCACCGCACTTCGCTGACACCTAGAACAGACACTTCATTCTTCTGCATTTCCGTTTTCAAATTCTCCAATTTTCCTGCTTGATTCAAGGTCCTGACATTCCATGTTCCAATCTTGTATCCATGCTGTTTCTTCTGATCTTCGCACTTTTTCTTGTTGTAACGCCTGCATGACATTTCCTCTAGAAACACTCCCCCCCGGAGATCCGATTGGGGGAGTAGTTTACCTCCGGATTGTTTTGCCTCCAGAGGAAACATCTCGCATATATGGTATCTCTGTTTTTGGAAAGAGACTATCCAGGAAAAGTGATAATGTGGTAGTTTTTCCATTTGCTTTCCACATCGCAGTACAGCAGCCGTTCAAACCACTGTGGTCACGCCTGCTGCTATACGAACTTGAACCAACTCGAGCATCATTTGCTCTGTGCTTCAAGTCGCTACTGATGACGCTGCTTCCGGCATCAGTTTTTGGTGTCTCTCTTCGTCTGATGCCTACCCTTTGACCTGTCCAGCAAGGGAGGCCCTGCCAGTAGCTACGCTTCCGCTGGTATAGCTCTCAGGATCCTTGGCATACTCAAACCCCCTCACCACCATGTATATACCTAAATTAACTAACTTCATGGAGTTGAGCCCTTCTTGAGAGGCTGTCAATTGTGCAGTGACTCTAGAACTTCCCAGCATTTTATGGAACCCGAAGGTTCATTACTGTGTTCACAAGAGCCCTTCACTGGTCTCTTTAAGATCCATTTTACTATAAGCCATCCACCTATGTCTTGGTCTTCCTGGTGGTCTCTTCCCTTCTGGCTTCCGCACTAATGTCCTGTATGCAGTAAATGTAGAGGAAAATAAGCATATGTTGCTGTCTAGTCACCAGAAACAGGTCAAAATCATGACACAACGATAGCTAACATGTTTTGAGAATGTGGCGCAATTCAGATATTTTGGAATGACAGTAACAAGTCAAAATTTAATTCAGGAGGATATTAAGAAGAGGTTGAATTCAGATAATGTGTGCTACAGGTTGGTTGAGGCCCTGTGCTACAAGCCGGAAGGTCATGGGTTCAAGTCCCAATTAGGTTATTGGATTTTTTTCAATTGACCTAATCCTTCCAGCCACACTATGGCCCTGGGGTCGACTCAGCCCTAACAGAAATGAGTACCAGGAATATTCTTGGAATGTTCTTGGGGGTAAAGGGCGGCCAGCATGTAGGACTGACAGCCTTGCTGCCATCTATGAGCCAGTTGCCTAGAAAATGTGGGAACCTCAACATCTCACAACTCTATGGGTCTCCATGGCCGGTTACAGGAATGCCTTTACTTTTTTTTTTTTCTTTTTCTTTCTTTCTTGGCTTGCCATTCAGTGTAGAACCCTCTTCTTGTCTGCTGTCTAAAACATAAAAATTAGAATATACAAAACTATGCATATGAAACTTGGTCTCTGACATTAAGGGAAGAACATAGACTGAGGGTGTTCGAGAACAGGGTGCTGAGGAGAGTATTTGGACCGAAGAGAGATGAAGTGACAGGAGGTTGGAGAAAACTGCATAATGAGGAGCTTCATAACTTCTACACTTAATTTAGTTAGTTCAGTGGAATGTTAGGAAGCTAATTAACCATTAGAAGAAGGTGATTCCTTTATAAATGAATCTCTGATGTCAAGAGAAACATTTTAGATATGTTGAATTAAAAATATCTTCATGAAATAACAAGATTCATAGATTCAGGGTTGTGGAGTTTATGAGAGTGAGCCGCCCTTCTCCTCCTCGAGGGTTACGTAAGGAAGCGAGAGGAGGGGAGGCCACGGGAACAGCTTCCTCATGGACATGGGGTTACAGGCCTCCCAAGGTTGGTGCAGGGATCTCAAGAAAAGATGCCTTGGGATCAGCTGGTTAATGTGGGAATGCAAATCCAGACAGGAATCAGGCAGTTCATTACTAGTCAGACTGACGGAATGATGTTATCAGTAAGCACAGGTCACACAAGTTGGTAACAAAATATATATATATATTATAATGTAATGAAAAGATATGCCATTTGGCATTAGAAAAGTAACATAATACAAACAAAAGATTAGCACACCCTGTGCCCAAAGAAATGCCACACTCATGAAACAAAATTACTGGTCGCACATGCAATGCAAAAATGCAGTCATTTACCTATAGGTAAAAATTAAGTATATAAACCAAATCATATTACCTCGCACAAGCCAAATACCTTTCTGCTATAGATGCGAGGGCTCAGTCCTCATGGTGCCATGCCATACAGTAATGTAGAACATTCAAGAAAACCGAACAGAATTTTGCAGTGCAGGGACAAACTGTTCCACCCAGTGGTCACCCAGGAAAAGAGAGCGAGCAATCCCGAACATTCACTAACGTAGGGAAGAGAAACAAGGAGCGGGGGAAGCACGTGACATGTACGTCAGCATAGAACATATAAGGGAAGAAGGGAACACTCGCCAAGGGGGAGGGCAAAGATTTTAATCAACAGAACCGTGAAACAGTTCAGGATCTCCCCCTCTCCCTAATCACAAGAAAACATAAATCCATACGACCGGCAACTCAGGTAGTTTGGCTCAAAATCTGGACACAATAACTCCAAGGGGCTTGCTTCTTCTAGCAACAAACAGCGGGATCCACCAGAAAACACACAGTCTGTTTCTGCGCACTACTGTGCAACAATCACTGGGAGCGAGACCTCTCAGAGACGCCACCTTCTTGGAGAACCGCTGAATCAATCAGTCCATATCTCCAGCGTCACCATCACTTTCAGTCCCGGCACGTGCTCCACGAAAGCTGGAGAAGGCACACAACTTCGGGCCATGAACCAACAGCCCCTACCAAGTTGCTAAAATCCAGAGCTGCTACTGATGAGACGTAATACCCTCCATCTCCCTTGGGCCCTAGGGTAACGGAGGCGAAGTAGGCACAGTCATAGAAACTGCATTGTCAGCAAGGCAATATGGAGAGGACGAAGGAACAAAATAATTAGTATACAAAAATAGCAGAAGAGACAACCGCATAGCACAGTCTCCATGGGAGAATATTACAAAGAATTTATACAGTATTGCAAAATAGCAACAAGGGCAGATGCCCTAATCACCAGTGAAATACCTTTTCAGTTGCGAAACATGAGCTTTTCTGACTAACATGCCAGTATCAGGATTTGCCAGTTGTAAAGTGACCTTCATCAGAAATTTGGCAGCAACCAATGGGTTAGACCACTTATTTTCTATCTTAGCAGAACGCTTGAAGACCTTCGAGCTCTGAGGGTGAAGTTTCACAAGGACCAAATCTCCTACCTTGAGCACTACCTCACTCCTCAGTACATTATACCTCCTGGCAGCCCTGTCTCTGGCCTTTTTCAAATTAGCCAAGGCCCGTTCCCAAAACGCCAAATCATGCGGCACAGGAGAGAAGTCAAGCATAGGAAGGTAGACCTACAGGAAAAAGGACTGAAGCCTACTTTGCAATGAGATGGGCCTTTAATCACACAGCCTGGCCAGTCAGCCATGCAAATAGTCCGATTCTCATCTAACAAAGGAAAATGATGAACCCGAATCCAAGATGGCTGGCTTACAATAATCTTTTCATGGGTAACACAACCCAAGGATTATAACGAGCAACCCTTAAAGGAGAGATTTGACACTGAGGCTGTTTACTCTCTGGCACTCGGACCTTGGCAGCCTCTTCACTGCCGAGTGCCTCCTACATTTCCATGGTTCCTTGCAACAGAGGTCCTAAAGGACGGACGTTCCTTCCTAATGTGTCCTTTTCCAGAACACTTCCAGCATCTCACAGCCCGACTAACAGACGGGGAAGTCCCCTCCTGCCATACTCACAGTACGCAGGACACATCTCCCCTGCTGAAAACTTCTGATAGAAGCATTTTTTGTAGAAAGTTCTCTCTGATCATCAATAGCCCAACAAACAACAGAACCATGAAACACTGTTCAAGATGATTCGTGTAATGCGCAGAGGCGTTCTTGAAGTGTTGTGAGATAGTTCTGTTTCATTTTGAAGCTTTATGGGAAAATAAAATAAGAATGTCTGTGTGGAGAAAAATATAAACATTCCTCCAAAAAATGCAGCTGATGTCAACATGTATATAAATCAGTAGCATAGAGTGTCTTCTCTCGAGCCATGAAACCAGCTTCTAAATAGGTCTGATATCAGTCAGCAAAGATATGGCAGCAGAGACGTAACCATAATCAGCACTCCATTAGAAAATTAGAGGTACTGTTTCAGATTCAGTAGCACATCTAAATATTTCAAAACCGGTGTCTCCCATATATGTGCACAGACATCACACATCACTGTTGGGAAGGCATAACCCTTCAGAATTCTCGGTCTGATGACTCATTTGTTATAATGTACCACTCTGCACAACAAACTGAGTATGACATAAGCTTCTCAGAAATTAGAAATTAGAGATCAGGGTATAATTATATACGAACTGAAAGCTCAGAGTCTTGTCTTTAAGTGTAAAGCAACAGGTTTATGATATCTGTGAAACTCTTAGTGGAAGAGTGGTTTCTACAAACCGCTGCACGGGTAGGTACGGATCACGGAGACCAGCATTGAAGGGCCAAACTTTTTCTTGTTGAGATGCCAAAAAGTAGCTGTCTCATTATCATAAACAGAAAAATTATTTGCTGTGTATTTATTAACATTAGAATGCCTCTTCATTGTTTCCAGTGCTGCCCCCCGTGCTGGTGCCTCGCCATAGTGAATTTGCACCCGGTCACTCGTTGCTGCCATTCCAGCAACTGCCTGAGCCTGCAATGCCACACAATGTTTCCTATTCAGCAGGAGGCTTCACAAATGGAGGTCCTGGTAGCCATCCTCATCTCAGTCCGAGTCCAAATTCACCATTAAGCAGTGTTCCAAGCCCTGGAAGCACCCACTCCAACCCTCAAAGCCCATATGGGAGCAATGGGCTACCAGGTATGCACATTGAAAAGAGAAGAGACCAGATGTTACATATTACTAACTCGTCATTGTCTCATATTTAACACATACAAGTCTTTCAGTATCGTGCAGTAACCCTTTCACAGTTGAATAAATAGGTTGTCCAGAAAGTAAAGACTGCTTTATTTTACATCATTACTGCAGACCTTATATCATTTTTCTACATAATCTCCATGAAGATTCAGAGTATTGTGTGATGAGCTGTTCATGCCTGCATCATAGAAATCTGCCGCCAGTCCAATGACCAGTGTTAAACTGTCATCTTCAATTTTTCATCAATACCCACTCAGGTGCCACCCAAAAACTGCTTCAATTGTGTGAACAAGTGTAAATCATACCTTCCCCATACACTGCATGCAATAAGTTGACCTTAAATTTCAATTGGACGAACATTTGCACTTTCGGAACTGAATTACAGCTTGCACTTCACAATGGGCAGGAATCTTTGTTTACTTACTCATTTTTAACTATTACAGAAAATTGCAAAAGGTAGAATCAGCATGTCATTCAGTTGGCTTGTTAATAAAAGACTGTTGAGGCCCATTAACCTTGATATGGTGCAATTCATTGACCTGCACAAGTGCTGTGCTCAAACAGTCTTTACTTTCTGGCGGACCCTTGTATTTATGTGTTGTGGCAATCCTGTCAGGTCAAGTAGTTGCACAATATGAGAAAATCATCATCATCTTGAATGGATTTAGTGGTACTTCTGATGAGAGCTGTAAGAGAAAGTAATTGCTATGGGTTTTTTTTTTTCTTTTTTCTTTTTAATAATATGCATAGGAAACAAATGGTAAATTTGAAAACATTGCATGAGAAACTTGCACTGCAACCTGTTAGGAGCAGTTAGCGAAAGTACGGATATTTGCATTGTGCCTTTGACAAGGTTAATCTGTTCTTATCCTTGTACATGCCTGCAAGAGGTATTCATTTGAATCAAGAATTCATTTGCAAAGATTAACTGTGTAGGTTTGTGTGTGTATGTGCATGCACGTGTGCACACATGCTGCTGTCCAGAGTTAAACATAATAAGAATACTGCTTCGTCTAGTGTAGGAGCTCTGAGATCTTTCTCCATTTACTGTGCTGTTAGATCTTAGGAACAGAAAAAATATTCTGTACCAGATTTCATGAATTTTGGTTTGTTGGTTGTGATTGTAATATTCTGGCCTTGTGGAACAGATGCTGTGTTAGTTGAATGGGGCACTAACCCAGGATTGAACTCATGGTGCACCCTTCTTTAAAAAGAACACTAATGTAAAGTACAGAGAGGTTAGTCCACACCTATCTGCCCTTTTTTATTGCTAGTGGGGTGAGACTAAGTCCCTTGTACTGGGGCCACTTCTGGCCTATTGTACCAGCCCCAGATGATAGGTGAGGGTGATTGTGGAGCAGTTGGTGGAATGAAGATTGGCAGGGGAGACTGAAGTGCTGGGAGAAAACCTGCCCCAGCGCCACTTTGTCCACCACAAATCTCACTTGACCAGACCCGGGATTGAACCCAGGCCACCGCGATGGGAAGCCAGCAACTAACCGTTTGAGCTATGGTGCGGCCTTTACCTATCTGCATAATAGAGTTTACTTTCTTCAGGTCTGCTTTATTTAACCTGTATTGTCTTTTTGATTATGAACACTCTTCTTTTGTCACATATGCCAGTTTTTTTATCGTTAGAAACTTGTCTTCGTGAGTATAAGAAGTGTGCTAAGTACTTGGATTGAGTTATCTGTGCAGCAGACATTGAAGCATTGCAAATGGGCAAGTCACATATTATTTTTCAAGTCTGAATGTTCAGAGTTGAATCCAAACACTAAACATATATACATTTGATACACATGTGTCTGTAGCTTGGAAGTTATGGGCAGGCATAAGCTTATTTTCATGGACTAAATATCATGCCATTATTTAGTTTCTTTCACATTTGGACTTTACACCAGTATCTGAAGTATTAGTAAAACCAAAGTTCTAAACCCTCCAAATTCAGTAAAGGTGATTTTCATCATTTGTAATCGTGTGCTGTTTTCAACCACCTGGCCTTTTCCTGTGTCTAAGGTGTTGAGTGGGCTAAAAAATTATAACATTGTTCAGATGTATGTGGCAAACTGTTGCAGTTAATTAAAGTGATTAATGTGTGAATTAACACACTCCATTGTAATTTCTTACGAATGCTAAACTGCGGACTCTTACAGCCATATGAACTTCCATACCAATAAAAGATGCACTGAATGGTTTCATGCAACTGCTATTTATCCAGTAACCCCCAACCTTAAGGTTTTCGTGCAAATAAATTGGGGTGCCCAAGCTAAACCCTGAGAAGCACATAAATTGAGACTGATTGTCTGAGGGGGAGGTAAAGGTAAAGTAAAGTTATCTGTTTGCTTAGTTAATAAACATCATCCCATGAAGTCATGGGAGGGAGTGGAGATGTAGCTCCACCCTTCTTGATCTCAGCACTGAATGGAGGTGAGTGTTCAGCTTCATGCCTTGGCCACTCTGCTCCCATGGAAAAGGATGAATGGGCCCCAGATCCAGTCTGGTTACTGTGGAGAAGAGAAAAGGATTCCCTACCCCTGCTGGGAATCGAACTCTGGACATCCAGCCCATAGCCCTCCGCTATACCAAATTAACTATCGACTTAGGGGCAGGTACAATACAAAACTATTATTTTGGGCTTTGTCCCTCATCCAAGTTTATTACAACTACTACATTTCAGAAGTTGATTCTGTTTCTGTCTGTGTGAAAGTTTTTCTCCCTAGGGGCCAGCACAGTAGGGGCTCTTTTGTCTGTTGTTCGCTTGAAGACAGAAATAGAACCAGTTTCTGAAACATGGTTAATGAACTTCGATAATGAACAAAATTTAGAATAATAGTTGTAAACAGTGTTTCATGCCATTGCAAGAAGCTTTAAACTGACTTTAAATAAAGAACAACCTGTCACTGAAAATGACAACAGGAGTGAGATATTGCCTATTGCCAGTTGTGTGTCATGGCCACTGTATTGATTGTGCAGAGATTTCCTGTTAATTGCATGTGTGTTGTGCTTAGTGGAATGTTACCTAAGTGCTGAGATGAATCCTATGTGTGTGCATTGTCTTTCAGAAACTCCTCCCCCTGCATACAGTCCCCCTGAGGACAGTCAGCAGGGCCAGTCTGCAAGCTTGACAGATCCATCAGCGATGGACACATCCAGCAGCATAATGCCGGAGGTCGCTCCTGTGTCTTACCAGGTAATCATGACCAAATTTTGTGTTCTATTGAACAGATAATGCTTGCAACACTTATCCATAATCAGCAAATGAATGTTAGTGATAAACTGAAAATTATTCTAGGCTGTATGTTCTACAAGTTCCTGTTTCTCCTTACAAAAACCAAACAAGACATTTTTTACCTTTTTGATGCTGGGCCCATATTATTATGTGTGCAACCTCTAACCAGTCAAGTGGTTCTTTTCCCTTCTTGAGAAGCTGCCAGTTGTGCATCTTCTCAAGAAATTTCCAGCATTTTATGGAACTCTTAAAAGTTCATTACCATGTTCATAAGAGACCTGCCCACTGGTCTCTATCCTAAGTCAGATTAATGCAGTCCATACTACCTTGTCCTGTCTGTCTTAAGATCCATATTAATATTATCCACCCACCTACATGCATATTAGTCTTCATATTAGTCTCTTTTCTTTTGGCTTTCCCATCAATATTCTATATACATTCTTCTTCCCTTCTCCACTGCTGCAGATAATCGAGCGTTCACTGTAAACTCTTTAACAGTTGTCCACCGAATTACTTTCGCTTGTTTTGTTGATCAAGCCCAGTCACATACCTGTCTGTATTTCAGGAACCTCTCTATTGGGCTGACATCGCATACTATGAGCTCAACTGCAGAGTAGGCGAGGTGTTCCACTGTCAGACAAATGTCATCATAATAGATGGCTTTACAAACCCTTGCAACAACTCGGACCGATTTTGCCTGGGACAGTTGTCCAATGTAAATCGCAACTCAACCATTGAGAATACGCGCAGGCACATAGGGAAAGGTAAGAAGGTTGAGTGACTCAGTCACATTGAATGGGAATCATTGGTGGAGTGTGGCTTGCATTTCATGATGTTATATTTTTGTGAGTAGAAAGTCTGCAAAATTGAATGGACCTTCAGTGGTCATTTTCAGTAATTATGAAATGTTCTGTGTAACAGTTAACGCAAGTTTCGCAGCCCATGATGCTTGTAATTCATCTTATGTTAACATTTGAAACTGTGTACACGATCCATATAGGGGTCCTTCCATGTGAAGTCATCCAGATAGGTCGCTTGACCATTTTTAAAAAAATGGTATTTTTTACACTTATTTCTACATATTTTCAAACTTCAAAAAATTTGTAAAAAAAATAATGCTCTCAGTTCTCCCGGTATGGTCGTTTTTATAATGCAGAAAACACGTTTCTGGCTGAAATGGAGGTTTGTGTTATCTTCTATATCTTGATAACTGTTGATGCTAGTTTCTCCAATAAAAAAAACCAATTTGTTCACAAGAGCCTGCCACTGGTCCCTATCCTTATCCACACCCTTGTACTCTTTTCTTATAACACCCTTTAAATATTATCCCATGAGGTTTGTGAATGAAAGTCTTGTCTTCAGTTCTGATTCTCCCATGTGTGCTAATGCCCCACCAGGGTCACTGGGCTTCATTTTGATCATTCTGATATTGTCTGGTGAAGAGTAAGAGGCTTGTTAGATTAATGATAAAATTGAGGAGTTGTCTGATTATATGCTGATGTCAGTGATTCCTCTAAGTTTCTTCCCTTTGAAAGTTCACCGATCACTTTTTGCCATCTGAAAACAGCTTGTATTGATTATTATATTATGTTTCTCCGTTTTTATATTTAGGTGTTCAGCTCTTTTACATTGGTGGGGAAGTATATGCCCAGAACAAATCAGACAGTGCAATTTTTGTGCAGTCTCGAAACTGTAACCATCACCATGGTTTTCATCCAAGTACTGTTTGTAAAATTCCTCCTGGATGTTCACTCAAGATCTTCAACAACCAGGAATTTGCACAACTCCTCTCCCAGAGTGTGAACCATGGTTTTGAGGCTGTCTACGAACTTACAAAGATGTGCACCATACGGTAAGTGGCAAAACAGTTGATGCTCAGGTTTGAGGATTGTTTAATCCATGTGGCATTTGTAATGATTGCTTCCAGTCCAAGACATTCCTCAAACATTCATTCTTCACTTACTTGCCAGTCTTTATACAGATTATATTAGGTTGATGACCAACACTCACACATACCTACATGCATACACATGTGTGTGCTCACGTACACACATGCACACACAGTGGATTGCTTTGAAGAATTTTCCAGGGGACCAAGAAGTATGTATAAATCTCTTAAGAAGGAAGACATCATGAGAGGGTAGTCTTCAGAATTTTGTAGAAAACAAATGGAATAAACATTATATTTTTACATTAAGTAAGTAGCTAAATACACAGGCTTTCACATGTGCTACCTGCTTTTGCTGTCATAAGTCTGCTCTGAATTATTATTATTATTATTTTTTTTTAACATTTCTAGTGTCATTTTGCTTGTCTTCCAGTGAAATTTGAAGTAAAATTTTCCAGTTCCCAGAGGTGCCTGAGAACTGACTCTGGCAAGTCATGAATCCCACTAAGTGGTTCTGGTGCATGCTTCTCCGGAAACAGCAGTATTTCCGGCCTGTAGTTGCTATTTTCCTATCTAAACATGTTAGGCACTTCATGAACAGTGAATAAGTTATCCATGTTATGCCTGTGTACATGGCAGGAACTACACATGCTTGAAGCACCTTGGCTTGTTTGACTTTCCAGTTACTGGTGGTGGCATCTTTTTAGATCCAGCTATAGCTATATTTGCAAGCACATTAACTATACCTTCACTCATTTTTCCCCCATGACACCTTTCATCTCTGAGAACATGTGTTTTGTATGCGAGTAGGCTGAAGAACAACCTGCACTCATCTGCAGTAAATATATCCTTTGGATAGAATACATTCAGAAATGATGGAAGCACTCTCAACTTTCAGGCACCTTTTTCTTCAGTTACACTTTTGGATTGCCCACTCACAGTTCTGTAGCAAAGCCCTGCATTTTTCTGAAGTGATCAAATTATCCATTTGAAGTTAGGAATTCAGTGTTTTGTTTCAAGGCTGTTTCTTCAGTCTTGTGTCTCAACATTGAACCTTGGATTGGTATATATTATGACATAAAAACCAGAAGAGGCATATAGATGAGAAGAGTCGGTCATGAGTTGAGAGTCCACAGTTGCGGACCAGTTGTATGATGATAGAGAGCTGGCAACAACATAATCAGAGGGCATTGTTGGGATCCATTACTAAGCAATGACTAGTCAAGAAATGAGATTTAGCATGTGCTGTAGTGAGAAGTAGAGTGCACGAAAGTGTGTTATAATTACTTGTTATGATTTTAAAATGTTCAGTAAATGCAATTACCAATTCACACCCCATGTCTAGTCACTGTCACATGACGCTGTATATAGATGTGTGCTACTTCAAGGTGTTAACGAAATTCGGTGGCCACGGCTCTTGAAGTAGAGTGTTTGAATGCAACTGGAATCCTCACTTCCAGTCTCCTTGTTCTAGTTACATGAGTATTCTTCCTTCTTGGAAAGTTTAACTACTATACAGGGTGATTCACGAAGTTTTACCCCGACTTAGGGAGGGCATTCCTGGGGTAATTTGGAAGAAAAATTTTAATATACTAATGATATCCAACTCATAATTAAAGAGATACAGTAATTTGAAAACTGGTGAAAAATCTTTTTTCTTCGAATTTCAGTCGAAACAAATTAGAAATTCAATACAAACACTTTTTAAATCGTTAATGTTTTAGGAAAGAAGCATTCTAAAACAATTTTTTTTTAATTTTTTAATTTTCAATTGCGCAACATTTTTCATCAATTTTATGTCACAAAATTACATTATTTTCAGCATCCCATTCTGTAAACATACCAGTGGTTGCATATCACACCCTTCTATCAATCTGTTTCCTTTAAACTCTAGTGCTTTAGAAGACGACTGGATTTACATAAGATTTTAAAAAATGTCCCCCTGCACGTCAACACAATGCGTCACATGCGTAGGAACCACGCTCGTAGCATTTCGTAGTTCCACACATTTGTTCCTTATTGTCATCGCCGCATCCAGAATACATTCAAGGAATGCTTCACGTGTTTGTACCTTTACCTGGTACACAATGTCCTTCATCCAGCCCCAAATTCAATAATCTAACGGCGTTAGATCTGGCGACCTGGGAGGCCAGGCGTTACAGCCTCCGCGACGAATCCACCACCGTGGGAAATGCTGATCCAAGTGAGCTGCTACTGCACAGGAGAAGTGAGGAGGCACCCCATCATGCTGAAAGTACATCCAGCATCTTGTTGCCAGAGGAACATCTTCAAGTAATTGTGGTAATTCTTCTTCTAAGAAGTAGAGGTAAATCTCGCCAGTTAAGCAGCCAGGAAAAATGAACAGCCTGATTAGCTGATCATACAGAACACCACACCAGACATTGACACTGAATCGGTGTTGAAAATTCGATTCTTTCGTGGCACAGGGATTGTTGTCTGCCCAAACATGTAAGTTGTGATTGTTGTTTACCCCATCCCGTGTAAACTGTGCCTCATTGCAGAACATTATCAGGTGGTACAACTGCCGATTTCCATTTAACCAGTTGCAGAACTGCAGATGAAGAGCATGGTCTCCTGGTTGTAGGTGTTGTACTTGCTGAAAATGACAAGGATGCAGCCCATTCTCATGAAAAGTCCTCCATGCCATGGACTGAGAGACACCAAACCGCCGAGCTAGACATCTTGTACTGGCACGCGGACTGCACTCTACAGCATCGAGAATGTTTTCTTCTTCGCACAGTTCATGTTGAGGATTTCGTTTGTATTGTGTACGAACCCTGGGGAGAGAAACAGTTTGTCTTAATGTGTTGAACGTACTGCTAATGGATTTAGGATTAGGATAACGCCGGTGATATTCAGCAGCAGCGGCTGTCGCATTTCCATCACATACACCCAAAACAAACACCATATTGGCGTATTCCTTAGTGAAAAGTGTGTATGGCATCTTAACTTCACAAAGTCACCAACACAGTGTCCTGTTTACTACTGGGTCGCGCAACATTCCAGCCGGTCTGCCTTATCTGCTGACACAGCTGACTGGAACACAAGGTCACCCAGGAGGGAAGCATAGCGCTGCATTCACAATGATGTGTTTTGAAAATCTATTGTTACTCCATAACTATTGAAAATCAACCACAAGTTTGTAAGGAAATTTTGCAGGAAATAACCCCAAGAATATGTACCATAAGCCGGGGTAAAACTTTGTGAATCACCCTGTATATTGTGGAACTGGCAAGGAGGGCAAACATATCAGGTGCTAAGAATGGGTACTTTTCTTGTTTTAATGGAAATGTTGGCTCAGACTGCTGTGTATTCTGCAATGGGTTCTGACTCCAGGATATATTTCAGGATGTCGTTTGTGAAGGGCTGGGGAGCAGAGTATCACCGGCAGGATGTGACTAGCACCCCATGTTGGGTGGAGATACACCTGAATGGACCTCTACAGTGGTTGGACAAAGTTCTGGTGCAGATGGGGTCACCAATTAATGCCATTTCCTCTGTGTCTTGAGTGGTGTTGTGGCAGACATCACACAATGTAGTCTTCAAGCCACAGTGTTGTTGTGCATGGTTTGAGGAAGAGTGGCATATGGTTTCTTGTTGGGTGCTACAGATTGGAACACTGTGGAATGCTTGAGTCTGATGGAACTTGAGGATTAAGGTTAAGTTTGTGTACAGATATGTAGCTGTTCCACAAGATGAAGGGAATGTACTGACTGATGGAACTGCTTCTATAATAAATACATCTGCAATATGCTGCAGATTTTATGCCAAGAATGTTAATTGAGCTGAAATTAGAAACTATAGAAAAGTCTATAGATCCATTGCAGCCATTTGGAGGATACTTTCTCCATCCAATCAGAATGTCACTTTGGTCACAACAAGAGTAACCTTGATCTCTGCAATGAAAATGCAAAGGAAAATATTGTAGTGTGATGTCTGTGTACTGTATTGTGTTGTCATTTGCATCTAGATATTTAATGTGCAAATCTTTTTCTCAATTTATTTGTGCTTGGTGCTGTGTATGTGTGTGGCTGCTCTTAATGACCTGGTTTCAGACTGTAAATGAGTGAATGTGTGAATGAGGGAGAACACTTGCTTTCTGATGACATATAAACACTACTTATATTGTAGTTAATTAAATGGAGCACAGGCCTTATCAGTAAAAAGTAATTATTACAGTGGCTCTGTTCGAGCTCTTATATAGCTTGTGTATAATTATATAATGCAGTTGTTCCTAAGGTCACAAGATTCTTTTATTTCTTGTTATTTAGCATTGTCCTGCTACAGGGATGTGTGTTTGAGAGTTTTTAATATTTGCTCTGATTATCCGTCTGATAATGCAGATCCCCACAGTTACTTCCAGTTGGTCTCCTCAAATTTAGATGAGTTACTTGCTTCAAACTGTGTGATAGATTGCTAGTTTTCTGTTTGGAAGTTGTGGTGATGTGTAGTGTTGGAGGATGCAGCCATAAATACAGTGAAACATTTAAGATGTTTTTGGAAAAACATAACGCACCAGTCTTATTAAGCAGAGAAATTTTTTTGCATAAGTAATTTTGAAACGAATTACTGAACTACTATTGAAAATAACTGCCAAATGACTTTGTTTCATCAAGACTCTTCAAATTGTGATATGAATTTTAATTCATCATTGTATGGTGTTAAACGCATTTCATTCACATAATTATGTAACAGCATTTGTGCTTGGTATTGTTATCATGGTGCATGCAGGGCATTCAACAAGTGTAGCACCACATCTTATCAGTACAGATACCGTTAGCATTGAGTTGTGATTTGACTGCTAGAAAGAGGTTTAGATACCAACGTGAATCATGACAAGATGGAATACTTGCATCCTTTGTACTGTGATCCCTGGAGTAGACATGTTCTTATGTATAATGATTTTGCATTTGAAAATATAAAGGGGTGAGTAAGGATTTACAATGTCCAGATAGATCTTTGTATGAAAAATATGTTAAATTAATGAATTGTTAGTAGTGTGTGGTGTTTGTTTCATACTTGTTAGGGCGAGAACCTTTCATATCGGAAACTTGTTAAAACAGCCAAATATACATAAATCATGTGCAGACACTTTGGTATATAATTCTTCTGTCTTATAGAGAAAAATTCGAACCACTAATGTCTAAAAATCCTTTTCACTGTATTTGTGTCTCTCTTAGTTTTTGTTGCAATTTGTATTATTTCTCATCTAAGAATGGTCTGTTCACATTGCTCCAAGGATATGGAAGTCTTGATTGCTGGTTTATGAGGAGAAAGTACAAACAGAAAAACTACTGAGCCTTTCATATATGTGGAGCATGGTAGTCATTCTTTGTTTTCCCTTTTAAAGCAACATATATATAGTGTTCACAGTTAGATAAATTAGTTACAAAGTTAATTTTATACAAATCACTGTTAAAATTATATAAGTGCCTGTGATTCTTGGCACCAAATTAAGTGTTCAATTAACAGCTTTTTATACTCATTGAACAGATGGTTAAATATTTTCAGACTCTGATGTTTTTTGTGCTTTTGTGTTTGCTAGACTGACTGCACAGAAATATTTGCGCATAGAAATGTCATGTCCTTTTCAAAGAATGACAGCAATTATGTTTGTGGTGCCTTTCTGTTAAGTAAACATGGTCCATTTTGAGTGCTCTTATCAGTAGTGATAGTGCGTGCGAGAACAAGATATAATGACAAAAAATTAAAAGTTTGAAAACATTTCCAGAAAGGTTGTGTGACTTGTGGGCCAGCAGCCCACTCTTGTTAGAGCTGCAGCTGGCTCTGTTCTGTCTACCATTCCACTTCCAACATTCATTATCAGTGTCATCTACGGTTTTTTAAAGAAAGTAATAAAGTATGAATGATTGTGCACCTTGTCATGTGAAATGCATACTGAGCTTTCATTTTAAGGGGAATGAGGAGGGGAATTGCTATTTAGTTTGCATATCAACCCTAGAAGTTGTGGCTTTATAAGTCCTACAGGGCCAAGCTCCCTTTTCTGATTGTTAGAGCTGCTGCAAAGTGTTAAACTGCTGTAGGTAAGGAGTTCCTTCAGCATGTTTCTTGGCTAAAGCACAGATGAAATGCCAACATGTGATACATCGTCAGTACAGCAATTATTGTGTCTGAACGTTGACATTTTGACAGGTTAAAGTGATATGGGAGGGGAGGCTTTCCTTACCCTTGTGTGATAATTCTTTTGAATGTTACTTACAGTTGCCATTTATATAGCTTGAGCCTTGTGTTCTTTCTTTATTCATTTCACTCTTTCCAGAATTTCTTATCTGTAATGGAATATTTTGGACAGTTAATGCAGAGCAGCTGTTTGTGAATCGGCGGTCTGAAGTTGACTGTCCACCTCTGGTATCAGGGTTTACCTGCAGCTCTGCTCTGCTCTGCATTGTCACAACTTGGTGTTCAAGCACAGAGGCAACTTTGCATGTATTTGTGCCATGTCATTTTAAAGTACTGTCCATTTTGAGAGTCCAAATATGCTAAAACGTTTGCTGCAAAGTCCCAGTTTTCAGTATTCTTTGTGAAGATTGTAAAACCAATTTAGGAACTTCTATGTGTAGTGTAATATGTCCATTACTTTTATAGCAACTGAAGGTTTTTGAGTTTACATGTTGGTATCCATCAGACTTGGCCACTTACATCCAGTAACAGAGTTTTAGGACTGATCAGTCTGCTAGCAATGAAAAGTGGTCCAGAATTAACTTGTGCAGGAACTGTACACACAGAGAAGATGAAGAATTTCTATCATTGCAGGGTGAAATTGAAACCAGCAGAACTTGCCACTTTAGTAAGGACAAATCCAACAAAATATTTAATATAAATAGTAAGGAACATTAAAGTTTTATATGTGTATGTGTGTGTCTGTGTGCACACAAGAACTCATTCCTGCAATGCAGTACTGATGTTAAAGGTTAGTTCATACATGAATAGACCCATTGAATGTTACTATGAGGGTAAGTCAATAAGTAAGTTACAAATGGATATAGAACTTAAACAAATAAGAGTAATGGTTTGAAAAATGCTTTTATTTCTCAACATAATCTCCCTGTACAGTGAGGCACTTGTCCCATCGTTTCACAGGCCCCTGAAAACCAGCAGCATAAAATTTTGGGGCTGCTGTCAGAACCAGGTGGTAACTTCCCGTTCTACAGCTTCATCGTTGGGAAAATGTTCAGCCGAAAGATGATGTTTTAGAGGGCCGAACAAATGAAAGTCGCTTGGAGCAAGGTCGGGGCCATATGGAGGATGCTCGAGGACTTCCCACTTGAAATTTTGCAGCATCTTATTTGTCTTGTTGGCAGTATGGGGATGCACGTTGTCGTGCAAGAGCAACACACCTTTGGTGAGGAGTCCTGGTCGCTTCCATTGAATGGGCTTATGAAGTTTTCTGAGGATGTTACAGCAGGAGTAGCATTTACAGTTTGTCCTTGAGGCTGGAATGCAGTGAGCAGTATGCCTTTGTGATCCCAGAAGACTGTGAGCATCACTTTCCTGGAGGATGGTGTCACCTTAAACTTTTTTTTCCTTTTTGGCACGAGAGAGAGGATGTTTCCACTGCATTGATGCACGCTTTGTCTGGTAATGGTGAACCCAAAACTCATCACCTGTGACAATTTGGGTTAGGATATCGTGTCCTTCATCGTGGTAGCGATTGAGATGCTGTAATGCCAGATCCATTCTTTGCATTTTGTGTTGTGGGGTCAGCATGCGCGGCACCCATCGTGCACAGACATTGTGAAAACATAACCTGTCATTCATTATGAGGTACGTCATGCCGTGTGAACAACCAGTAGGCTATAGTGTCTATAGTTACCCTTCTTTGTGTTCGGATTAAGTCTTCAACCCGTTGCACATTCGCCTCTGTGGCAATCTCCGTTGGCCGGCCGACGCGGTGTTAGTCTTCGATACGTGTCCGCCCTTCAGGGAACTTCTGCACCCAATTGTAAACAGCTTAGCGTGACAGGCACTTCTTACCGTAGATGGGAAACTTTTTTATGAATATTCTTTGATTCCATACCTTCTGCCCACAAACATCGCACAACGGAGAGCTGTTCGAGGGTTGTACACTCACTCAGAGGCACCGCCATCTTGCAACTGAAAATTCGCTTTTGTAAAGATCGATTGTCTCGTGTCGAATATCATCAATTGCCACGGGACTAATGCTGCCATCTAATGGCGATAGCCTCAAGTGCCTCATTCAAACATGTAGTACCCCACATCAATTTGTAACTTAACATTTTTTTTTAAATTGGCGTAGTGAGGTGTGGAGTCCAACTGGGTCCACTCGTCACGGCGGCCACTGATTGCCCTATTGCAGTCTGCCACTGTCAATATGATGATGGAGAATTTCGTAGAATGAGGATCCCACTTGATCAGACCCCGGGATCGAACCTGGGCCACCGCGGTGGGAAGCCAGCGACTAACCGCTTGAGCTATGGCGCGGCCAATTTGTAACGTACTTTTGACTCACCTACGTATATGGTGAACTGTCAGATGCTTAATCATGACAGTCTGTGAAATGGATGAAGGTAGTATGTGTGTTCGTGCTTTAATGTGAGGACTTAAGTTTCACAGAACAACAGGTAAGATTATAATACTATGGAGTTAGTATCCGTAATATTTGCGTTTAGAACTATCGGATGGGAAGAGGAAAGGTTCTGGATTGAATTGTAGTAATCATTCCCCAAATTTACTGTGCTATTAACATCTTCACGAATGTAATTTCTATATGCCACTGCCCTTACAAATGTCTGAATTTTATCACATTTGCGAAAGATTTTTTATTTATTTTATGATTCTGCCCTTCAGTCTTATGATCTTGCAGAACAACCTCTTTTCCAGAGTCTAGGTTCTGTGTTACTCTTTATGGTATTTATTTTCTCGCCCAATAAATTAACGCTATCGATGTAAATCCGAATCCAAGCGTCCATTTAGAAACAGGCTCGCGCGCGCACATGAATGTAGACGCTAATGTTTCGTAGCGTTTCTTTTCAGTTCAGTTTCACTGAACCAACGAAATACACGGTTTTAATAACTTCATGCATGACCTAGACAACATGCCCTATTTGTTGTTATAGCTGTAATAATAAGGATAATGTGTACAATAGTCAGAGTAATCATTATTCTAGCTGAAGCAAGGCGCTTTCTGAACGTGCCTGTTTTCCTGGGACAGATGAAGGCGGCGTATTCAAACACTCCAGTATTGATTGGGTGGCATCGCGAGGTTGTGTGTTTGTGCGACGGCGCCAGACTTTGCCACGGGTGAAGGCTGACATTACCGTGCAGTTCTGGAAGGGTTGCAGGACAGTAGTTAATTCGTTATTACAATACTAGAAGCTCTTGCTGTGGTGGTGAACAATTCGCGGCGATTACAACGGTGTGTTTTGCTCTATCGTCAGTTGAAAATAAGACAAGATGATATGAATCAGATTCTGTCGTGCTCTCATCGGGTTTTCATCGCCGAGAAATGTGGATATCCTTCACTGAGCCATCCAAGAAAGTGTAACTTGAACATTGCGACTGGAGAAGCAACGAACGAGCTGTGGAGCGATGGCTAGGGTGAGTCCCGGTGTTTCTCATGTGTTACTGCAAAGTTTTGGTATTCTTGTGTCCACTGAATTGGAATTGCATCATTTTACAAGCACCGAGTATGGCTCTGAACCATTAAAAATTTGTTCAATGCTTGTGCGTAATAAGCTCGTGCAAGCAGTAAGAATTACCGCTTTCCTGGATGTAACCCATTATCTACTATTACGCTCTTGAAACTGGACAGAAAATTTACGTGTACAAAACTAGGCCCACTCTCACAGGATTTATCGAGAATTAACATGATCCGTTCGTCTGAAATTTGAAATACCTCCCAAATAAGAACTCCAACATAAAATTAGGGTCTTTTAAGCCTAATGCAGTAAAGCATTTTGTGACCGGTTACTCTTTTGTAAGTACAAATGATGTTTTGCATTTCAGTGATAATTTGAATCCACTGACTGAATACGAGTTTCCTGTCGTGCACCTTGGGATATCAAGGCCGTGGTCGGAATACATGAAATAAACAAGAAAAGAACGTGACTGTACTAGGGATTTAGTTAAACGGTCAACTGAAGCAACAAATTTTGCAGAGTTGCCGTCATCACGAAATTTATACGAACCGTATATCGACATGAACTGATGCAAGAATGAGTGTTGCATCTAACAGAATTCGCAAAGCTGCTTACTGCATCCCACAGAATGCAATTAAAATAAGAGAATAAAGAGCCGCATTATATTCATAAGTTTTCTGTCATTATTACAATGAGATAATTTACGCTACATTTATTGGGAACACGGTGGCCACGCTGTCTTAAGACATGAAGTGCCTTCTTCCGCTCAAGCACTGGGGTCGTGGGTTCGAGCCCCACTCAAAGTATGGACATTGTGTTTGTGCTGTTCTGTGAGTAGGTAGCGGCCTTGCGACTGGCTGATCCCCAGTCCAAGGAGTGGTACCGACTGCGTATATGATTACTACACTGTAAGACAGAGACCAAGGTGCACCATGGTTTATAGCGCCCCGCAGATAATTATTAGTGACTAGGAACCAGTATTTATAAAATTGTCATTCAGGTATTGTTCTATTGCGCAGTGCCTTCAATTTGCGTTTACAGAAGCGATTGCTTCTAATTTGTTTTACATAAGTAGGTAGTTCGCTGCAGCCTGCAATAATTGGTTCATTGTTGCATACAGCTGAATGCCAGGCGCACCCGAAGCCGGTTCTTGTATCATAATTTGTTATATACCTGTGTCCCCATATGGAAGAAATGAGCAGACTAGCCCGTAAAAGATTGCCTTTTTTTTATTGCTAGTGGGGCGGGACTAAGTCCCTTGTACTGCGGCCACTTC